CTCACTAGCGAACAGAACAATCAAACTGATATGGCCGTGGGAAGGGTGTTTGAGGGGTCATCGCGATTACTCGAACTATTCCTTTCCTTCTGTGTTAAGCCCTCTCAAAGTTTAAATCCAAGGAAATTTTCCTGTCCCACAATACAACGAAATTGTTGTGCGCAAAACATTCGTCTATTGAAAGCTGCTTGAGATAGGATAAGAGGAGGTGCCACCCCCTCCCAAACTCCATTTCCACCCTTACTCTACCATTTCCACCCTTACTCTAAGTACAGCGGTACTGCAGCTGTCTACTCGTTAACACAGATGCTCGGAAAAGAGAGGGGCACGTTCAGTTTCCACTTGAGCTAGAGGCTTGGCTCAAAAATTAGCATTCCATTCTCGACTTTTGGAAGTTGACAGATCAAAATACACAGTGCGTCGCATTATCACAACTCCACAGAGAGTGGATGAAATGTGACAACCGCAATGTGAGTGAGCCAGTCAACAAGTTCATTCCTACTTGTGTTGCCACATCTCGTCCAATTTCTTGTAGTATTGTGATTGATTGATTCCGATAGTGAAAGTGTTATTGTGGAGGCGGAGACTTGATAAAAGAGAAGCCTTAAGTGCAGCCCTTCATGAGGTGAGAAAAAGCTGTTCGCCTTATTATAGGACTATAGATTGAGCTTCACTTGGAAGGCCGCAACCTCATGATTTTGTAGGTGATTGTATGCAGCGTCGCAGGTCTGGCACTTGTAGGAACACTGTCACTGGCCCAAGGGGTCACGGCAGCAAAGTCCAACGCCTTATCTCAGTTGGCTGACATCATTGCCATTTGAGACCTTCGGTAGTGCTTGTTCATGCGCTCCATTCCATCGGTAACCCTACCCTCTGCGCAACTCACATAAGCGAACATCCTACATGGTACCAGCACTTGCTGTGGCACACTAGAGAGAATAGGGTCTGGTTTTTCGTAAAATCTCCTCGGCGTTTTAGGGTTTCGCTGACTTCAGGTTTTACTAGAGCTCAAGCTCTTCGAGCCATGTTGAAGCTTACAATCCAGTTTCGACTTCTAGGCTCCTGGCTCCGGCATCTGTCTTTTTTCCAGACTACCAGGTGGCAAATCCCTGTGAATTCCTCACAGGGTAGACTACGGCTCTGTGGGCAGTACCTTTGCCTCACTTATCTTTGCGACGCTGCTGGGCCCACTCCAAGCCAGTGACCGCTTGCTACCCCTTCATGCTATCAACTGTGACTAGCACTAGCTAGCAGCGGCCTTTAGAGAAAATCATCCTTTCTGTTAGTTAGCTTCTGATAACAGCATTCCTAAGTCCATCTTTATCTAAATGAATACGCTTATTTTGTCTTCGGTGAATCTTTGCCCTGATCCACGGGTTTCGTAGCCGATTCCTCCAACTCCGTCACATTCCGCTCATTCCCTCATGAATTTCTCAGGTATGTTACTCCTCAGGGTATTGATGCTCTCGATTCCAATTCTTGCTTGCCGTCAACGTGACTTATATGGAAATGCCCGAGACGGTGGGGCACCACGCAACGCTGATTTTTGGTAGGTATGTGCATAAAATGATTGCTGGCCGACGATGGGCCCACGCTGAGTCAGTTATCAGTAACCTTTGGTTAAGTTGTAATTCTAAAATGTTGAAGTTGGCAGATGGTAGCTTGATTTAGTATAGGTTGTGATTGATTGATTTGATTGAATTGGCCCACGCCTTGTAGGCTTTTGGAAGTTTGGAAGCACAGCTCATCACTTTTAACCTGGTTAAGTTACGCACTGTAAAGCTCAAATGAGTGGGGTGACTCGGATGAATGAGTATCGTAATACTAGATTTCGGGAAGAACGCCTAGGCACAACTCGTAAAGCTCGAGCGGGCAGCGCGTGCGAGCGAAGCGAACGGAGCACGGATCTATTGGAATAACTATTACAGACGATTGTCTCACCTTTTATCGATCTTGATGTACGAGTGGATGGACACAGTTCGGCAGTTCTACATTTACCATATCACTCGAAATACATGAAAAGGGATGAAGAGGACGACTACGCGAAACTGGAGTGAGCATATATTCCACGTGACTGCCAGACTTCGGAAATTCACGTTTTGTTTGCAGCATCAGAGGCACGTCGCTCTGGAACGCTCCCGCAGCAGAAGGACGTTCAGTCACCATGCAGGATCTCTCACTATTTTTTGTCATGCTGAAAAACGTGTACCGAGGTACGCCTTTAAAATTCTCTGAAGGTTGGGGAGCAGGTTGTCTGTTGGGCAGGTCATTCTGATACATTCCCTTTCTGGTGAGCGAGCTTACCTGCATGTTCTGCTTGCGGAACTAAAGTGCGCACTCTGCAGAAAGGAAAAGTGGAGTAGAAACTTCTCGAAATTGGTCGAGCAGAGGTTGTCCCTGTTTTGAGATGATGGAAAAAGCTGTGGTGGTAGGGAGGGGGGAGAGTGGGAATCAAAGGAATTCATTTGTTGAAGGTTTGTCAGTCATTTATTCCATGTACAGAGGACTACTGCATGTGAAAAATGTGACACAGTTTATCGCCCGACGCTTTTCAGGACTACTCGAGGACAACGAGTTCCTGAACAGACTGCGCAACTCTCAGTTCGATGTTGCACTGCACGAAGTTTACGAGCCCATATTCTGCTGCCATTTTCGAGGTGAATTGAGGGAGAGGGCTCTAACGGGTTACTTACAGTTCTGTCACTGCTGTGTCAGGGGTGAGACGGTAACATGGCCCTGTCTCTTCTATCATTGACACTAAAAATTATGCCGAGATTGAGTTCTAGACCATTTTTTAGCCCTCTTCTGGTGTTTTTGATCAGGCCATTCACAAATCATGCGGTATTCTGAGTCAGACGCCAGGTCGAATGCCTTGTGCATAAGAAATGAGTAAGGCAACCTGACATAGTTTTTCTTCTCGCTGAGGCAGATGTCAGGCTTCGCGAAGTCGACGCAAGCCTGTCGAACTGTGAGGTCGCGGTCGGTCAGTCTGTCGCAGTCTGACTTTTGCCGGGTGCGTTTCAATTCTTCCCCAGGTTAGGTCACCTGAAATTAAGACCCTACTGATTTGCTCGAAGCAAGCTTGGAATTTAGCCCAGGCCCAATCATAGGCTTAAGCATAAGCCAATATCTAAGCATGCCTAAGCCCAAACTCAAGGACAACCTTAGGCTTCAATGATCCGCAGCTCTGGTGAATCGACCTAGGAGGAGAACATAACGTCTCATATTTTTGCCTGTTAACTCCCAGGAGCGGGAGGAAAATAGCTTCGATGCAAAGTCCTCTTCACGCAAATCAAGATTTCTCAGTTGATTTGCCATTTAGATAATTGGTGTGACGAAAACCGTTGCAGTTTCGGCTTTTGGCATGACGCCGTACGCTTACGAAATTGTCGGCATTCGACAAAACCCGAGCTTTGTTCCAGGTTCGTTTCTAAGGTTTGCCTCATTCCGGCTAAATAAAGGCTTAGGAACGTCTCTCATTCACTTGTTAGCTACTAGAAGGCTCTCATTTCTAGTAGCTAACAAGTGAATGGAAGACGAGAATGTTAAACATCTCTAGTATAATTAAAGCTCATATTACGGAGGGAGATTGCGGTGGCAAGGGACGTCACCTGCCGTGTAAATAGTGCTGCAGCCAGTTCTTGCCACTTTAGTGGAACGCAT